AATTAGAAGTCTTTTTTCTAATTCTCTAGAGCTCCATCTTCTCTGAATTATCATGGCATAAAAAATTAAAAACGATGTTATCTTCCTTTTTTTGTTTGTCGGGCACGATGTTATACATCTACTTAAAAAACGGCATTCATTGGACGGACGCAGGCAATCAACTCAGATATTACGTCCATTCGTACGTCATATCTTCATAATTAATTAGTACAGTAGTTAATTTATTTATTAGTCTATTTGGTGTCCAGGAATTAATGATTATAATTTTGACAACAGAGCAGTTGATGAACTTACGTCTCTGCTGGTTGAGGAATTATAAGAGGCCAAGAGCTTTTCTTTTTCTTTTTCTTTTTTTTCTTTTTTTTTTTTTTTATGGCGATACCCATTATCTTCTCATCTTCCAAAGAGATAAAGATAAGGTTATTCTCCCTCACGGTTCTTCTCCCCCGTTAAATGGACTAGTAGACCGACACAGAAAGCTTGGTGGAATTAAAGAAATTTTAACGCCAATGGCAGTAATTATTAGTAATACTAGTACCTAATTAAGTAGAGTAATGATTTGTGGGGTGAAATTGAGGGATGACAAGTGAATTGGGTCAAATTGATAATTTTGTATCCTGACCAGCTTTATTTATCGTCCCTCATTTCGCCCCCAATTTCGTCCCACAAATCATTACTCAATTAAATAACGTAGTAAAATGTTACTACATTAATTAAGGTTACACACTCTGTATTAAGGAGAGAGTAGACTAACATGGAATCCAATTCGCTACCTTTCCGATATCTCTCTTTTTATTTTGCATCAGCAACCATGCCAAATGCTACTACAACGCATGATTGAATGACTTACCAGCGTAAAGTCTGTGAATCAACAAACAGTCCATAAGTTACCCCAAAAAAGCGAAAACTAACAGTCTCCATGCACCGAATAATATCTTTATATATCAATCTGTATCTTGATTATCAGCATGCTCCCTGCCTTGACTTAGAGATCCAACATCCAAGTTTCTCTTCCTAATCCTAGCATATTATAACTTAGGAACAAATTACATTAATTCTCAAAGTTCTCTAACATATGGCTCAAACCCACAATGTCCTCCTGATAGTATTTCCGTTGCAGGGGCATATTAACCCTACCCTCCAACTTGCCAAGCGACTGGCTAATCTTGGCGTTCGTGTCACCTACATGACGACGGTCTCCACCATTAACCGCATGAGCAAAGGATCGGCTATTGAGGGCATATCATTTACAGGCTTCTCCGATGGTAACGTCAAGGACAACATTGACGAACTTATTAATGAGCTGGAGCGTTGCGGCCCTCAAGCCTTGAGAGAGTTCGTTGCTGGCAGGATCAAAGAAGGAACTGGCTTCACTCACATTATCTACTCATCTCTTCTTTTTCCTTGGGTAGCGACGGTGGCGCGTGAGTTTCAAATCCCGACAACATTTCTTTGGGTTCAAGCTGCCAGCATCTTGAACATCTATTACCAATATTACATGACAGATTATGGTGATTTCATTGCCAAAAACATTGATGATCCTTCATTTTCTGTTGAGCTACCGGGATTACCACCTCTCAAAAGGGATGATTTACCCTCCTTTCTCCTCCCCTCAAATCGATATCAATCAGTCATTCCAATAACAATAAGAAGGCATGTACAGATCCTCAACGAAGAAACCAAGCCTAAAGTTTTAGTTAACACCTTTGATGCCTTGGAAGCAGAGGCTCTCAAAGCAATCCAAAATTACAACATGGTTGGAATCGGTCCTTTGATACCATCTGCATTTCTGGACGGAAAAAATCCTTCGGATACTTCATTTGGAGGTGATCTTTTCAAAGGTACAAAAGACTATACCCAATGGCTTAACACAAAGCCTGAAAGTTCAGTAGTCTACGTTTCGTTTGGTAGCTTGGCTGTGCTGGCAAAAGCACAAAAGGAGGAAATAGCACAGGGTTTACTAGCGACTGGCTTCCCTTTCTTGTGGGTGATAAGAGATAGTGGAGAAGAAGAGAAGGAAGATGAGATGCTGAGTTGCAAAGAGGAGCTGGAAAAGCAAGGAATGATAGTGCCATGGTGTTCTCAGGTGGAGGTTCTCTCCCATCCATCAGTAGGATGCTTCTTGACCCATTGTGGGTGGAATTCGACCATAGAGAGCTTGGCTTCCGGGGTACCGGTGGTTACAGTTCCTCAATGGGCGGACCAAGGGACAAACTCGAAGCTCGTCCAAGATGTATGGAAGACAGGAATCCGAATGAAAAGGAATGAAGAAGGGAGAGTTGAAAGTGATGAGATAAAGAGGTGCTTGGAATTAGTAATGGGAAGTGAAGAAATTAGACTGAATGGAAAGAAATGGAAAGATCTGGCGAGGGAAGCTGCCATGGAAGGTGGGTCTTCCAATGAGAACCTTAAAGCCTTTGTGGATGACTTGGGAAAAACTTCATGGCCTTGATCGGATTAATTAATTTCTCAGTCTGTTTTATTTATTTTGTTGTTCAATAATAAGTTATATAAGGTTGTCCGTTTAACTTTCACTTCCGTGTTAGGGTAGTGGCTTAAAAGCTGGAAGAATGCACGTGAGTTCTACAGGAGAATTGTTATAAGTTGAGTTATAAGGTACAACTTTAAATTAAAGATTAATATTTGAATTTTTTTTTGATGATACAATCTAAATAATAAAGAAAAACTTTTATTATTGTTTTCTCTCTTTCTTTTTTTTTCATTTTTATTTGCGCATTTATGTGGCTCTTATGTCTACATACTCATTTGAAAACATGTATGGAGGGATGATTTTTGGGTTAATTACTAATAGAGATTTTTTAATATATATTTTTAAGGTACATATTATATCTTATTAATTATAATATTTATAATTAATTTTGTATAAATTTTTAAATAAGATTTAAATAAAATATAATATAAAATATAAAAATATAATATAATATTTTTATTCAAAATTTATAAAAGAATATGAATTTAATATAAAAATTTATGTAAATTAATTAAAAATATCTTAATTAATAAATTTTAACATATGTCATTATGATATAAGTT